GCCTCGGGGTCTGCCGCTGGCGAGAGCGCGGGAGTCGCCCCCCAGCCCGGAGGCTGGCTTTGCTCCGCATGACCACTCCGGTCAGGAGAGAGAGAATGAGAAAGCCACGGATCGACTAGCCAGTGGAACACAGAGCATCCCTAATGGTGGTCCTGCCCGTGATGAGGGCACCCATTCTGAAGAGGAAGGCTTTGCTATGGAGGATGAAGATTCTGATGGGGAACTGAATACCTGGGAGCTGCCAGAAGGGGTGTCCAGCCGTCTGCCTAGGGAACAGGCTGCTGATCTTTTTAATGAGGACTGGGACTTGGAGTTGAAAGCGGATCAAGGGAATCCGTATGATGCTGATGACATCCAGGGCTGCATTTCTCAAGAGGTCAAACCTTGGGTGTGCTGTGCCCCGCAAGGAGACATGATCTATGACCCCAGTTGGCATCATCCACCTCCACTGATACCCCATTATTCCAAGATGGTCTTTGAAACTGGACAGTTCGATGACGCTGAAGACTGAGGGTACAGCTTTTTGCCTGCCAGGTACACGGGTCTTCAAGATTAAGGTCTTTCTTCTTTTCTTTGAGGTGAGATGTCATATCTGAGGAAACATTCCCAATGACTCCTGAGCCAGGCACACAGACTGGTGTTAAATAAGATCCCACTGCCCCCTACTTCTGTTGTTGTTTTTCATGAGTGTGTTACCTCTTTAGATGTGTGTTTGTTTCTGCATTAGGAGGAGGAGTTGTGTTCTTTATAAATAAAGGTAGGAAAATAAATAAATAAAAAAATTTAAAGGATACAATTAATAAAGGTTTTAATAAATCAGTACCTGAGCCCTGGCCAGGTAGCTCAGTGGGTTAAAGCATTGTCCTGATACACCAAGGTTGTAGGTTTGATCCCCGGACAGGCCATATACAAGAATCAACCAATGAATGCATAAATAAGTGGAACAACAAGTCTCTCTCTCTCTCTCTCTCTCTCTCTCCTCAGTAAATAAATTTAAAATTTTTTAATTAAAAAAATCAATACCAGGGTTCAATTCTCAGATTTCTTACTTTGTTTTTAAAAGTCTAATCTCTAAATCTTTAGTGATTCTGATGGCAAAGATCCTTTCTATCCTTCCAGTGCCCCCTATCTTAGAATCATAAATTCTCTGGCCCTGAAAAGGCTGCCTTTCCAGGCCAGTTTGGCATCAAACTGTCTCCAGGCCATTTCCCTCCACTATGGCAGATCCTGTTTCAGTCCGAGGTCTATTCTTCTGGTTAATCCTCACCTGAGGATGTTTTTCCCCATTGAGTTTTAGACAGATTGGGAGAGGGGAGAGATGCAGAAAGAGAAACATCGATGTGAGAGACACATTGATTGGTGGCCTGACCGATCTGGGCTGGGGATTGAGCCTGCAAACGCGGTACATGCCTTTGAAAGGAATCGAACCCGGGACTCTTCCGTCCGGGGCAGACACTCCAACCCCTGAACCAAACCAGCTAGGGCTATTCTCCTTGTATGGTCCCACCGTTGGACAATCCCAAAATGTAAATACATATTTCCATCATCTTTTTGCTGTGTGGTTTGGGCAAGTCACCTAATCTCTGGAAGGTCCAATTACTTCATCTGTAGAATGAAGATGATACCATCTTCACAGGGTTATTGTGAGGATGAGAAGATGACATGTGTGAAGAGTGCCTGGCACATCACAGCTCCTCGGAATAAGGGAGTCCCTCTTCCTCCCCTAAGGCCTGAGGGCATATTACTGTTGGGCCCTCAGCAAGCGCTCAGTGGAGCTCTGCGATCTGACATCCAAGATGTACTGGTCTTGCAGCAACGTTTTCTACTCATCCCTCAGGCCGTGGAGGCACTGCCCCTGTTCCAGTGCATCGCTACCTGCCTTGTGCTTGCTGGGGTTGCAGTCACGTGTCCCCTGGGTGCCCAGCAGGCAGCAGGTGCTTGACTCTGGGCCGGTGCGTGGCATTCATTCCTGGCTGCTCCCTTTTCCTGAGCTTGGTGTGTGTGTGTGTGTGTGTGTGTGTGTGTGTGTGTGTGAGAGAGAGAGAGAGAGAGAGAGAGAGAGAGAGAGAGAGAGAGAAACTTAATCCTCGTGGGACTCAGTGTCTGGCCTCACCCTGGGCTCGCTGATTGGCTGTCTCTGCTGCACCCCCCCCTCCCCCGCGCCTCCCCAACACAGCATCCCAGGTGGCTCAGGCCCCGGGGTGATCTCTGTTTACCAAGAGCCTGTCCAAGTGGGGCTCCATCTCCGCACTCGCTCCCCTCGGCACCCCGT